CCATGTATATATATGTGTATATTGGGATCATCAGAGCGTCGCGGAACCGTGTGATAGAGAGATCGTGACGGCGGCGGTGCATGTCCTCTAATAGGGATCCATCCGAGAAGCATAGCTCCGGGGAGATCGACGCGGGTTGTGCCTGCTTCGCCTCTGGATCTGCAACTGTTTCCGATACATTCGTTCCTCTCGAGTCAAACGTCGCGGAGACTCGAGGTAGGCGTCTGAGTAGCCGCTTTCTTGTTTGCGCGTGGGTGGTGGTGGCGGTGGTGGGGGCGGCAGGGAAGGTGCCTTTGGAGCCTTGATTTTTTTCATGGGAGGTCGACGGGTCTCCAGCTTCTGGAAGTGTCGCGGATAGAGACCCCAGATGTCAGCCACGTCATGGATGTACAGGCTGTGATCCTCCAGCTCCTTGGATATGTCCGAACCGCACTTGTAGAGTTTGGCATGATCCAGCTTATAGGTCAGCCAATCGTCTGCCGGAATGTGCCGTACAGCTGGGCGCTGTTTGCAGAAAAGAAAACAGCAAAATATGTAAAGCGGAAGTCTTCTACTGGGAGCGATTTTTTTCTTGGATATGGGACACGATGAAATCGGATGGAAAGAGGGAACAAGAAAGGAGGTAATATAAACAGCTTTTAATTTCCCGAGGAATTAATTACTGTTCGCGGTATACATCAGTATATTTAAGGTCTATAGACATAAACCAAAATTGCAAGTGTATATTTGGATTGAAACTGGTGTTATAACTTACAAAATTAACAGCCTAGGTACTAGCTAAAAGGCCCAGACACGTGTTTCGCCGTATTCTACCGCTGCTTGACACAGCTGCAAGGGGTCCGGCTGTCCGTTGGCAGCGAGTGCATATTTCACAGTGGTTGACGGGTTTCAACCCCAATATACACTTGCAATTTCGGACTATGCCTATAGATCTTAAGTATGCCGATGTCTACGGCGAACAGACATTAATTTCTCAGAAAATTAAGAAGCTGAACTTTCAAAACCGGTATATCAACCAGAAAGCAGACAGGGAAAGCT